TGATCTCGTTTATTTAAATGAGAAACCTTTTCTTTGGTACACAAGATTACCTCTCTTGTTTACCAAATGTTTATATGGGTCTGATGCTGGCTTTCTTGGGCTATTTTTCTATATCCATGTTATTCCAATGCATATTCCTATGCATATTTGGTACAGACAATAAAAACAGAGAAGGATGGAGATCTACCAAATTTAATATAATGTTTACCCTTAAAAAAAGGAAGAAGAGGGGCTGGGCTGTGGCTCAGTGGTAAAGTCCTCGCCTAGTATGCCTGAAGCACTGGGTTCCATCCTCAGCATCACATAAAAATAAAATAAAGATACTGTGTCCATCTAAATCTAAAAAATAAATATTTCAAAAACAAAAAGGAAGAATATGATTAGAGGTAGTACATTTTAATTATATATAATAATGGGCTTCAACGTAGTAGTACTTTACAACTTTTTCACTGGGCATGGTGGCATAGGCCTGCAATTCCAGTGGCTCAGGAGGCTGAGGCAGGAGAATCACAAGTTGAGAACAGCCTCAGCAACTCAGTGAGACCCTCTCTCAAAATAAGAAATAAAAAAAGGGATAGGGATGTGACTTGGTAGTTAAGCACCTCTAGCTAGGTTCAATTCCTGATACTAAAAACAAAAACAAACAACAACAACAAAACACAGTAACAAAAAGCACACACACACACACATACACTCCAAAAAAAAAAAACTTTTCCTTTTTTTTTGGCAGTACTAGGAAATGAACTCTTGCATGCTAGGCAAACACTCTTCCACTGAGCTACATCACCAACTCCTTAGTTGTTGTTTTGAGACAAGGTCAAACTAAGCTGCCCTTGGATTTGCAATCCTCCTGCCTCAGCTCTGGAGTCACTGAGATTCAGTGTGCACCACCATGCCTGGCTAAAATTCTTTTTTGTTTCAACAAAGGATCTTAGTGCAGATATAGCAAAATGTTAAAAATCTACTTAAGCTGGGTATTGTCTCCAAGTGTTATTCTCTGTACATTTTAGTGACTGAAAAAAAAAAAAAAAAACTATAAAGTAGGGCATGTACCACCACACCCAGCTGAAAAGAAACATCTTGAGAGATACAGGAGAATAAATAATTCCTTTTCTTCTTAGATACCACTGTGTAGATGTCTTGTTACACCATAAAGGCTCAACCCTGAGCCAGGCCTGTACTCCCAACAACTAGGGAAGCTGAGGGAGGAGGATCTCAAGTTCAAGGTCAGCCTGGTCAATTTAGCAAGACCCCATCTCAAAATTAAATAAAATGGGTAGTGGTAGGGAATGTAACTCAGTAATAGAACACTTAGTGTTTGCAAAGCCCTGATTTCAACCCCCAGCACTGCCCTCCTCCCCCAAGGTTCAACTTTAAGGACAAAACTCACAGCACAAGATGGATGGTCAGAAAATCACAGAAAAGGACTTGGGTCCATGACGACACAGCTGAAATACTGAATTTACAAGGCTGGTCTCAAACTCCTGTGCTCAAGTGATCCTCCTACCTGTCCCTCCTGTGTAGGTAGCTGAGCCTGCAGGCTACCTACAGGCCTGCACCACCAAGACCTACCCAACTTTCTTGTAAAGTTTTTCTTACCATTTAAGACACATTTGATTATATTTTCTTCTCCTTGCAGCTTACAGCATATTGATAGAATGCTCTTTATCAAAACCAAACAATAAACTTTGAAGAATGTATGAATTCCAGTGAGTTCTTGATGACTATAAAGACCTTGTTATTCTCATACAGACTGGAGGCAGGAATTTTGCAAACTACACAAATAGCTGTAGATTTACCAGAACCACCCTACTTTTCCTTTGCACTTTCCCAATTGTTAAACAGTCACAAACAGAATATGCCTGTTTTTTTAAGCACTGTTAGCCACATCTAGAAATGTGATATAGGGCCCAAATTTGCTTCTATAAAGGCATTTAATCTGTAACACTATTTTATAACTTTTCACCCCTAAAAATGTTTAAATGTGTATTTTAACTTTTCATCAAGAGGAACAGTTCAGGTATAGGAAATGGACTGGCTTCTTTCCTAGCCTCACCTCTTGCCCCTGGATAGCGCACACTCTAGTATTCTACACAGGTACTCAACAAGGTTTGAGCCAACTCCCACAACTAGGGAGAAACCGTTCGACAAACTATCATGCTCCTATAATGAACAACTACAAAGGTGTGAACATTTTAATTAAATGGATTTATTTAAAAAGAAGACTATAAAATTTGACATTGAGAGAGATAAAAAAGACCCACAGGATTTACATTGACAAATACAAAAATGATTGGCTATAAACAATGTAAAAATACATTTCCCAGTCCCCAAATAAAGCATAATTTAATAATTACAAAATTTTTGCACTATAAGTACCTTTCCCTTATAATTCTTAAAAACCATTTTAAACAGTTTTTATAAAATACAAATTTGCCATAGCTGTTAATATAAAATTATTTTAAATTTGAATTTACTGAGGTTGCCCTTTTCTATACATAACAGCAGTTTCTGGTCCCAAATTCTCCTTGAACTTATTTACTACCATGATCTTTTTACTCGTTTCCTTCCAGGTGAGAGAAGCTAACTAATAATGGGTTCCATAAAAAAAAATAATGTGAAAGAAGATTCTAAGAGTGGCCAAAAATACAAGTGAACAAATTATCTTTCTGAAAAAGAAAAGATTAAGTGGCCTACTAAGCAGCCCACTTCTGCACCAATGAAACAATGGAGGTAAAACTTCAGAATAAGCAGAGTTATAATCAATCCCAACATGCTGAATGAGTGAAGCCAACTGGGAATAAGTCTGTCAATTCTAACTAAGCCCAAAGCATGGTTGGTGCCATAATTTATACCTAGAATGTTCCCCAAAGGCTCAGGCATTGCTGGCTTGTTCTCTAGAATGGCACTATTTAAGAAGTGCTGGAAATTTTAGAGGTTGGGCCTAATGGGAGATTTGGGGGGGGGGGGGGGGTGCCCTTGAAGGGGACTATAGGACTTCTGTCTTTGCTGCTCTCTTTTTTCCTTTTTGCTTCCCAGCTGCCATAAGGTGAGCAGCTTGTTCTACCATACATTCCTCAGTGCGATGTTCTGCCTCACCAGAGACCCCAAAGCAACAGGGTCAACTGAACTGAAACCTCCAAACCTCCAAACCTCCAAACCAAGCAACATGGACTGAAACCTCCAAAACTGTAATCCCAAATAACCATTTCTTCTTTTTCAGTTTATTTTCTCAGGTATTTTCTTATAGCAACAGAAAGATGACTAACACAGGTGGTAAAACTGAGGTAGCCCAGTCAATTTGCTGTGAATTCTATATGGGTATAGATGACATTTAAAATGACAAGAGTACACAGTGTGATCTGAAATTCTACAACTGCCTACCATAAATTTTTTATCTTTGAATCAGTCATCATTCTTGGACCTAAGACCCAGCTATTTCTCCTCTTTTAGATGACATACCCAATAAAAACAGAATCTATGATTGATTTCATTATCTCCCAAGTAGGTAGTAGTGATATCATCACTAACACTAGCATCTAAAATAGGATACAGATGAATAAGAAACTGACCTTATAACAGAGCAGAGGCTGTATCTGCCCAGTCTGACCAATTTTTGAGAACCACAATAGCCACGTGCATGCAACTAAAACCTATCTACAACATTCAAATGGCAGCTGAGAAACTAAAAAGAATGTGGTCATTAACTGAATCACTGGAAATAAGATTCCACTGCTGTAGAGAGAAAACCTAGCCTAGGAATCCTCCACCAAAATACGAAAGGATGTGACTTCTGGGTTCATGACCTTAATACTGGAGTCTCTGGTCGAGAACAAGAAAGGTCTACTCTGTATGACTTGGGCAGAAAGGACTGATCTCAACAAAGTCCTATCTCAAGTGCCCTGTGTGTATGACTATAAGACAGCGAGCAAAAGACAATTCTTTCAAATTATCAGAACCGAAATCTCTTGAGAATGGTTTGACTACTCCCTTACATCATCGACAGTATTCACCTGGTCAAGTTCCTGGACATTCACTTTCTTAGGATATCTTCTTCTACAAGAAGCTAGAGCAATGCCAATGTGGGAACGAGGACCCTAAGGCTCCCGCTACACACTTTCACACCTAAAGAAAACTAACAAGGAAGAGGCCCACCTCTGTCAGATGATGAAGCAGCATGTGGACCATTCTGATAAGACAGAAAAGGAAGCATCTCAAACAGATGAAAAATCAAAGACTGGGGTTTTAAAAAGAAAACTTGCTCAAAGTGATCTTAAAAGGACCCACAGAGCTGCATTAAATAGAAATGATCACATGCCAACAGGGTAACAGCCCTTTTTTCTAACCCATAGTATAAATTCACTTCTTCACATACATGGGAAGTGGTTGAAGCCTGTTTTTATAATTATTGTACTAAGTAAAAAATCTACCTTTCTTTTCTTTGGTCCTTAGGTATAATATCAGTTTCTTCAATTTTTCTGTGTTATATAACAATCATTTTTTTTTAAACCTGATCTCAACAAAGTGCAGTTTAAACATGAGGTTGCTGCTGCTTTTACACATAAAATACCAACAGCTCCCAGATATTTTATATTAAGCTATACAAAGGTCTCAGAAAGAGTTAATAATTATCCTAAAATGTTACCATATAATTTTAAGGCTGAGTGAGATACAGTAAAGCCAAGTATCACATAGTAAAGAAAAAACCTAGACCAACATTTAAAATATTGGTCTATTAAAATATACATTAAATTTCCATTAACAGAACATAATCTAATAAAAATATTAATATCTAAGCAAATTAATTTAAGAATGAAATAATTTCTAAATAAATGAATATAATCATGCTGTTTATACAGCTATAAAGCATAATTTGGAAGCTAAGACTAATAAGAGAATGCCCTGTAACACAAGGACAGAATCATTTATCTTCAGTTGAGCTGTGTGATTTAAACAACGGTCCTTCTCCTCAAAAAAAAGACAAACTCCATAACAACAAGTTTTAAGGTTTTTGGTTTTTTTTTACAATTAAAAATAAAAAACCCTCTACTCTAGACTGTGGTGACTGAAAACACAGCCTAATATTGATAAACCTGCCTTCCTGCTATTCCCCCAATTCTCCAAAGAAGTGGTTTAAGCAATTACACAAATTCTACAGGACCTTCTGCCAGAGCTCAGGCATCACCACCAAGAGTCACCATCTTGTGTAACACCTGCTCCCCAGAGTCTTTAGGCATTAAGGGGTTCAGTGAGGGCTTCTGCTCGAGTGGTATTCTCAGGTTTTCTTAGCTGGGACTCCTGTAGCTTTTCAAAAAGCATAGCACCAAAGTCAAACAGAAACATAAAACTTGCTAGAAATCCAAACGCCTGAGGAGAAAAAAGGAGAAAAGGTTATAATAAGAACTTGTGGAATACAATTTCACATTTCCCACATGATTCTGAGAGTGCTTCATATAAGCAAGATGATTTATCAATTTTATCTTTTTTTTTCAATTTTTTCTTATACCTACTACTTTTTAATGATAAAATAACTTTTTAAAACTAACAAAAAATAGAAAGAATCCAGGCATGGTGGTGCACACCTGTAATCCCAGCAGCTTGGGAGGCTGACAGGAGGATCATGAGTTCAAAGCCAGCATCAGCAATTTAGCAAAAGTCTAAGTAACTCAATGAGACCCTACCTCTAAATAAAACATAAAAAGGGCTGGGGATGTGGTTCAGTGGTTAAGTGTCCTTGGTTCAATCAATCCCAGGTACCAAAAAAAGGAAAAAAAAAAAAAAAAGGAAAGAAGTTACAAAAGAAGAATTTCCAGAATAACAGCTATTAGATAAAGTCCCACAAAATACAAATGCATGTCTTATATATGTATGTATATGGGTGGGGCAACAATCTATGAAACTAAGGTGAGTAGAGGAACCCATAAAATGATACAAAATAAAGGATTATTAACAGTGTTTAGACTAACCCACATTCATGATTAGGGAAATATGTGAGTAGACAACTCAACCTAGGTAAAAATGGATAAAGTAATTAATATTAAAACAAATTTCATTTTGAAGATATGAGATTAAATTATCTAACTTCCAGTTAATTGTCCCATCTTAAAATGACAACAACACATGATGCCACTACCTACTTCCTCTTCCTTAAAATCACTTCCTCATTGTACTCTTCTAACATATGATCAAACATTCTGAGAATTCTGTCAAGAGTCAGACCATGCTCAAATTTCGCTTCTTCCCTAGCAAAACCCTTATGGAAACAGGGGCCTAAAAGTAAAAGAGAAATTGCATTGGGTGATGGTTAATGTCTCCTGCAACTCTAACATTCCACCTCAGTAATTCTTAACATTCTGTTAACTATATGTTGCCATCTCCTGACCCTCACCATCCTCAACCCCTCTCCACTCTAAAGAATATGCATTCTGGGCTGGGGTTGTGGCTCAGTGCAGATCGAATGCCTCACACATGTGAGGCACTGGGTTCTATCCATAGCACCACATAAAAATAAAAAATAAATAAATAGATTGTGTCCATGTATAACTAAAAAAAATTTTTTTTAAATGAATATGCATTCTGTCCCATTTCACCATATAGCAAATTATTAAACTCCAAATTAATTCACCTGGATATAGCCAACATATTCAACCTAAATCTATTGATCAAAGCCAGGCATGGTGGTGCAAGCCTGTAATCCCAGCAACTCAGAAGGCTGAAGCAGGAGATTCATGTGTTTGAGGCCAGTCTCAAAAACTTAGTGAGGCCCTAAACAACTTAGCAAGACCCAGTATCCAAAAAAAAAAAAAAAAAAAAAAAGGGATGTAGCTCAATGGTTAAGCCCCTCTATTTTCAATTCCCAGTACAAAAAAAAATTATCAACCCAACCCAACCCTCAATCCCAAGTCTTTCTCACTCTGAAGTCTTTATTTTTATTTGATAACATCTATTCCCTTACTTGCTTAGGAAACTTTTTGAATATTTCAAATGCATAAAGGATGTCCCCTTGTCTGTCAAACTATCTCTGACCACCTCAGAAAGCTCTAGTCCACAGAGGGGCCTCTATATTATGTAATCCAGACAAGTGATCTGCCAGCTCCTTTGTTCACATAGTTCCCTTTTTTATTTTTAATGTCTCTCTCACTCATTTAAGTCTATTCATAACATGAATTGTTGCAGAAGGGCCAGGAGATTATAGGAGTGACTACGCACACCTATAATCTTAATGACTTAGGAAGCTGAGGCAGGAGAATCGCAAATTCAAGGCCAGTCTCGGTTAACTGAACCAGACCCTGCCTTGAAAGAAATCAAAAAGAACTGGAGATGTAGTTCAGTGGTAAAGCATCCCTGGGTTCAATCCTCAGTAACCCCTCCCCAAAATAATTGCAAAAGGTAACTTCAGTTTACTATAAATACTGACTTTTTAAACCACGAGTAACTATTAAATATGCCCAGTGAAATCTAACTACTGTAACATTCTAATGCATTATCTAAATAAAAAATAAACTTTTTTTAACAGCTGAGGATTTTATGTCATGCTTTTTTAATATTCCCTTAGAACTCAAGTATTCCTCAACTTCATTTCACTTACCCCACAGAATTTTATGAATTTATATATATATTTTTAAAAAATATTTATTTTTTAGTTTTAGTTGGACACAATACCTTTGTTTTATTTATTTATGTGGTTCTGAGGATTGAACCCAGGGCCTCACACTTGCTAGGCGAGTATTCCACCGCTGAGCCACAACCTCAGCCGATAATATATATATATATATATTTTTTTTTTTTTTTAATTTTTAATATTTATTTTTTAGTTTTTGGCAGACACAACATCTTTGTATGTGGTGCTGAGAATTGAACCCGGGCCGCACGCATGCCAGGTGAGTGCGCTACCGCTTGAGCCACATCCCCAGCCCCCGATAATATATTTTTATACTCATAAGTATATTATTAATCACCCTATCACACTTCTCTGCAATGACAATATGTATACAAACTAAAATTAACCATAAGACCCTATTAAAACTTTGGTTTTTCTCTCCAAATGGTTTGTGTATCCTTGGATAGATATTATTAATTGCTAGAATGAGTCAAGGTTCAGCAATAATTTTATCTGTTTTGTTTTTATAGGTGTAAAGAGCTAAGAAATTATGATCACATGAATAGGTAGATATAGCCATACAATTCTTTGAAATCCTCTTCTACTGTTCTGTCATAAAAAGTGGTTTTAATGATCTATTAGCTGACAACTACTAATTGCAACTTCAATTTCATTAAAAACAAAGTACTAACTAGAAACTAGATGGCTTGCAAGAGGATGTATTATCCCATCATTAGTCGTTCACATGCACAACACTGGTACCAATTCAGGTCCATGATCCTTGATTTGCAATTCTGAAACCCCAAAAGCTACAAAAACTCAAAGCTTTCACGATTCACTTGACTCAAAATTGACACATAATAAGATTATTTACAGTCTTTCTTACTCCTTTTATTGTAAATATTCATATTTTGCTTCAGAAATACTAATGTTGGATTATAGAGTGCTGTACTAGGCCCTCTAAAGGGTAACATAGTACAGGAGGAGTATTAACTTTCCAAAATCCAGAATATTCTGAATTCTTAAAACAAACCTACTCCCAATGATTTCAGATAAAAACTGAACCTTGCCAGGTGCAGTGATACCTGCCTGTAATCCCAGCAGCTTGGAAGGCTGAGGCAGGAGGATCATAAGTTCAAAGCCAGCTTCAGAAACTTAGAGAAGCCCTAGGCAATTTAATGAGACTCTATCTTATAACAATTATAATAATAAAATGTAAAAAAAGGGCTGGGGTTGTGGTTCAGTGGTTAAGCATCCCTGGGTTCAATTCCTAGTACCAAAAAAAAAAAAAAAAACAACAACAACAATACTAGATCTTTATTTTCAATCATCCCTTTGTTGTTCACAAAGGTTTTTTATTTATTTATTTATTTTTTGCTTGTTTTACAACTCAGGGCAATGTACCATAGAAACATTGGGGACAAGTACATTTTTCTTTTGGAGTGGGGATGGTAACTGTAGAAGGGAAGGTAGAAAAGAACTGGCTAGTCTCTTCCAGAGATGAATTCTTATACATATTAGTTTTAAGAAAAATTACATGTAAAGGTTAAAATCCTAGTAACTGATTTCCTCAAAAACTATTCCTAACTAGTACTCCTCAGAAAGTTTTGCTAAAATTTTAAGTACAGGCATAGTCCACTGAAGAGTACTGTCTAGACAAACTTCTATTGGTTCATTTAACATATTCTGTCACAATTTGTTTCCCTTTCTATTTCGTTTATTAGGCTGAACCTTTAAGTCATTTCTCCTGAGTATTTTTCTACACCTAGAACAGCATCTGGAATGTAGTTATGCTTTTTTTAATTTTAATTTTGATTATTTTTTGTGATACTAGGGATTTAACCCAGGAGTACTCTACCACTGGGCTACACCCCCAGTCCTTTTTTATTTTGTATTTTGAGACAGGGTCTAAGTCTGACCTCAGACTTGCAATCCTCCTGCCTTAGCCCCCCAATTCATTTACGCTTCTGAAGAACTAAAGAGAGGTAAAATATGATAAAATCAATTTTACCACTTCCATTAGCATAATATATTCATATGTGGAGTAGATGGAATTTTTTTAACAAGACTCAATTAAATTCTAGGTTTTTAGGGCTATCATGTTTATTTAATTTTAGATCTTCTATTCAAAATTACATTAAAAAATAAAGGACAAATTACTCTCACATATTGTAAAACCTGTCAAGTATTTTTTCAAACTTCTATATTTTTAAGGAAACAAAAAAAAAGCAAAGTTAAAAAATACTAAATACTTACAATTGCAGCAATTTCAGCTGAGGTTCTGTCATGGGTAGAAACAAAAATGATAGATGCCAACAAAAATACACATCCTGTTCCCAATGTAATGTAAAAATCCTATGCATAAATATAAAACACATAAGGAAGACAACATAATTAGATTCGTAAAAACAAAGTTCCTAAATTTTAATTTTCAAAAACCTGAATGACTTACTTTTTTCTTGACACGACCCAATTTACATACCCTAACTTATAACTTTCCAATAAGCCTGGCATTCAAAACACCACCCACACTTTGAACTGGTCATACTGAAAGAGTACAGATAATCTTTTAATAGAAAGTCCCCCCCAAAAGATAATCTTTTAACAGAAAGTCCCCCCAACATAATCCTTTATTAGAAAGTTCCTCCAAAAACAATTATCACAATCAAAGAATTTGTTGCAATTTCATTTCATTTCCAGAAGAAAAAAAAAAATCCTTCCTTTTAAAGTATTCTATGCTAGAATGACATCTCTCAAAGTACTTCAATAACACTCTGGAAAAGAGAAAAATCAAAAGAACCATCTATCATTAATTAGATTTATGTCAATAGTGTTTTAGACACTGGAGCTTTTTGGAATAACATATTATCCTTAACTGTTCCAAGTGGGTAATCCAAAATAAGTGTGTGTGATGAGCTTATCTTCCACCTAAGAGCTTCCATATCTCATCATAACACCGCTTAGAACCATGAGGTGCTTCATGGGTTGCAAAGTGCTCTTTATGGCACTGCCTAGGAAAGCTCTCACTTGCCAACTGAGAACAGTGCTTGACAGAGAGGAAAACTGGTAATATGATAGTCACTCCAAAGGCATACTTTTCTGTGAAAAGGAAGAATTTTCAAAGGAAATTCTTAATTGTAAGACTACAATTAGGGGCTGGGGTTGTGGCTCAGCGGTAGAGCGCTCGCCTAGCACGTGCAAGGCCCTGGGTTCAATCCTCAGCACCACATAAAAATAAAGGTATTGAATCCAACCACAACTAAAAAAATAAAAAAGAATACAATTAGGGCTGGGGCCAAAGCCCAGTGGCAGAGAACTTGCCTAGCATGTGTGAGGAATGGGGGTTCAATCTTTAGCACCACATAAAAATGAAAAAATAAAGACATGCTGTCCATCTACAACTATAAAAACTTTTAAAATAATATAATTAATACAATTAATTATAATGAATACAATTAACAAAAATCCTAAGATTTTGTCCGAAATTTTTCTTAATATGTATTTCATTTAAAAGTGGGTCTGTTGCCATTGTTACACAGAGATTCCTACAGTGATGGCATTTGCCATGACAGCCCTGAAGTTATCAGGACCTTGGTTCTAACAGGATTCTGCTTAGATCACATGAGAGAATATACAACATAAGGGCTTTCCCTGAGTTCAAATTCACTTCACTCTAGCTGTGTTAACTTTAGACAGTTACTTAACCACTCTGAACATAAATATCCTCAACATAAAAATGGAGCATCAAATAGAAGAATTCTAAATCATATCACGTCAAGTGCTGGACATGATTATAGAACAGTCATATATTGGTCATATCAAGAACTGTTAAGTATGGGTTAATAAAAAACTTGATTCAAAGTTATATTTAACTGTTTGACATCAACTTTTTCTAATTTTTTAACTTAATTTTTTTTTAAAAGGTAATGAATTCCTGGGCTGGGGCTGTAGCTCTATGGCAGAACACTTGCCTACCATGTGTAAGCATGGGGCTCAATCCACAGCACCACATAAAAATAAACATAAAATAACGGCACATGGTCCACCTACAACTAAAAAAAGAGAAAAAATTTTTTAAAAAAGGTAACAGATTCCTAAAGCAAAAACCCCAGCACTGCAAAACAAAAAAGGAAAAAAAAAAAAAAAAAGGTAAATATCTTAAGATAACCAATGCATGACCCTGTGCTTGCTTCTCATTAATTTAAAACAATAGAATCTTGCTGCTTTCTTTTTACACCATTATCTCTTGGCCTTAATAATTTAAAATATACCATAATTTTTATCTTTATCCTCAGAGATATATATCCTTTTATACCTCAACCCTGACATGCACAATTCTTCACAAACCCAAACATACTGAAGAAATAAATTTATCAATGATTTCTTTCTTAAATTCAGTACTTTCTGTAAACTATTTCATCTGTCATCCCACAAATCCAAACTATACTCAAATAAAAACAAAGGATAGTAGACTGTCTAGAAAGTTAAGCACTTCCAATATTGGAAAACAAGACTTTCCCACTATAATTTTATTGTAAGGGTAATTTCTGAATAATGAATCAGTAAATTCACCCCCATCTCTAGCATACTAGAGATTAAACTCAGGGGTGCTCTACCACTAAGCTACATGTTGAGACAGACTCTCATTAAGTTGCCCAAGCTGGCCTCAAACCTGTGAACCTCCTGCCTCAGCCTCCTAAATCACTGGGATTACAGGCGTGTGCCACAACACCCACCTAACAAACTCATTCTTAAATTCACTTACAATTTTCTTCATAATAAAATGAGAGCAAAATATAAACAGGATTATACATTAGAATGACAGTTTTAAATAAAATTTTACTTTATTTAAAAGCTCAAGAAATAAATCAGTTCATAACTCTATCTCCAATGTTAGCGTATGTCTGGAACATAACAGGCACACAATTCATAACTGTAAACAAATGAGTGACACTCTGAAATGTGGAAAATAAAGAGTGACAAATCTAGTTTTTTTAAAAAAAAGGCTGCCAGGTGTGGTGGTGCATGCCTACAATCCCAACGACTCAGGAAGCTAAGGCAGGAGGATCATGAGTTCAAAGCCAGCCTCAGCAACTTAGCGAAGCTCTAAACAACTTAGAGACCCTGGCTCCAAATAAATAACAAAAAGGGCTGGGGATGTGGCTCAGTGGTTAAGCGCACCTGGGCTCAATCCCTGGTACACACACACAAAAAAAGTCTACTGTAAATTAGATTAAACCACCAATAACTATAAAATACTGGCAATGTTTGTCACTGTCATTCTAATCCCTCTAATCCCACTTTCACTAACATTCCCTTGGCAGGAAAAATTGAGTTGCTTTAGAGACAGAGAGTTGGAATAATGCATAGTGTCTTTTCTTTTTTTTTAATATTTATTTTTTAAGTTTTAGGTGGACACAATATCTTTATTTTACATTTATGTGGTTCTGAGGATCAAACCCAGTGCCTCATGCATGCTAGGCAAGCACTCTACCACTGAGCCACACCCTCAGCCCCACACAGTGTCTTTTCATGGTGCTGAGTTTTAAAAGTACACCTACTTTGAACAACAAAACCAAGATCAAAACAGCTAAGCTCTTAATACAGGGATTTTATTTTTTCACACTTACCGATGATTTTACTTTTGTGTTATCAACTCTGTCATACACTGGAGTACAATACACAATCAGCAGAAGGAGACTCAGAAGGAAGGCACTGCAGCTTACAAATTCAAAAAAGTAAAGTCCTCCACACAATGTGCATTGTGATACAACTTCTTCACAGATGAATGCCAGCAGAGACAGCAACTACAAAAAAAGCAAAACATTCTACTTGTTTTTCAGAGAGCCCACTGCTAGTCAAAAAATACCATCTGTTTACTCAAGTATTTATAGAGACTATGGTAAACAAGACTACTGAGTGAACCTCATCTATACAGAACTTACGGCCTACTTGTCTTAAAGGTAATACAGGCAATTAACTACACTGAGCTAAATGTTAGAACAAGGAAATCAGGATATTGTTTTTATAAAAACACACAGGAAGGGATTCAGGAAAAAATAAGTTCAATTCTGGGTAAAAGATAGGAACTGAAGTTCCTGGCAGAGGAACACTACATAAAGACACAGAGATGAGAAAGCATGGCGCTGCCCCCACCAACACATACACATATCTCACCACCCCAAATGAACTGCGAAAGCCTGTCAACATAACTACAGTGTAGTTTGAGAGAAGGAAATGACAGAACAAAATTATATGGGACTAGAGATATAAGCAGAAACCAGATATAAGTTTCCTTATCAAGTAGTTTAAGGGATCTGGATTTTATTGGGTTTATAGCAAAAGGGTAAAATGATCAAGTTTGTACTTTCAGTGGTTCTTGCTAGCTCCATGGAGAAGGGACTGGAGCTAGTGCAAAACTCGGAGCAGACATCCAGCTGGGAAGCTGAAGTAGGAAATCAGAGAACATGGTGACCAGAGGTAGCAGTAATGGAGAAAAGCGGCTAATCACTGAGGGATGCAATAGAAGTCCTTATCAGACAGGGCGAGTACAAATAACGCGAAGGAAATGACAGGCACAGTGGTGCACTCCTGTAATCCCAGCAGCTCAGGAGGCTGAGGCGAGAGGATTGAGAGTTCAAATCCAGCCTCAGCAACTTAGTGAGGCCCTAAACAACTCTAAATAAAATATTTAAAAGGGCTAAGGATGTGGCTCAGTGGTTAAGAATCTCTGGGTTTGATTCCCAGTGCCAAAAAATAAAAATTGTGTGTGTGTGTGTGTGTGTGTGTGTATGTATGTATGTGTATAAAAAGTAGGCACAAGATGATACATATGTACACATTATTTTTAGTTAAAATAAAACGGCACGTTTACGGGCTGGAGTTGTAACTCAGCAGTAGAGCGCTCGCCTAGCACATGCAAGGTCCTGGGTTCCCTTACTCAGCACCACATAAAAATAAATAAAATAAAGGGTTTTATGTACAACTAAAAAATAAATATTTTTAAAAAGGCACATTTATTCACTAAGACTGTGGGTAACAATCGTGGGGCTAGAATGCCTGGCACAGTGAATGGAGAATGGGTAATTCTGACTGACCCAGCAACTCAATTAAGTGCAGGTGGATTTTAATGGCACTCCCACTGTTGGATTTGTGGTATTAACACTCTGGTACCTCCCTGCAGAAAGAATCAGGGTTTTTCTTTTTAAGAGGCAAAGGTGCTGGGGAGAGAATTCCATTTTAAATGTGTTGTGACTGGTGAAGTCTGTAAGAGTTAGGTGGAGATATAGTTTGGAAGCAAATGGATATATGCATCTGGAACTCAGAGGAAAGGTCCAGATGCAGATCAAGATGTGGAGGCTGCCAAGTGAAAGGATGAGATCACCCAGGATGAGGGAAGATGGCCTTATGCAGAACCCTGAGAAATCTCAAGATTTAAGGGAGTTGCAAAGGGAAGACCCCAACAAGAACTAGAAGCAGCAGCCCAAGAGACAGCAGGCAAGAGAAAAGTATTTCCACAGACAGTAATCATGAGCACTAAAAGCTACTTAGAGTCCAAGAGAGAACAACATTGAAACGCCTTCATTAGAATGAGTACCAGAAGGTTGCTGGTGACATCAGCAAGGAAATCCCAGTTAGGAAGTCTAGCCAAATAAAGAAGCTAGGTTGTAGCATGGTCATTAGGAAGTAAACAGAAGACAAGGCAGCGGAATAGAGACTGCAGTCAAGAAGTATGGCTGGGAAAGAGTGGCCAGATAGGGATTCAATGGATGAGGTAAAAGGAAGAGTATTTTCAAGATGGGAGGGAGCACACTGTGCATATTTTAATGCTTAGAAAACAATTATATGAGTCTGAACAGGTAGTGAAACTGGGCTTAATAGTGCATGCCTATAATCCCAGCCAGCTTGGAAGGCTGAGGCAGGAAGACTGAAAGTTCAAAGCCAGTCTCAGCAACTTAGTGAGGCCCTAAGCAACTCAAGCAAGGCCTTGTCTCAAAATATAAAAAGGATGGGGATATGGCTCAGAGGTTAAGCATCCCTGGGTTCAATCCCCAGTATCAAAAAATAAGAAAGGGGGCTAGGGTTGTGGCTCAGCAGTAGAGTACTTGCCTAGCATAAGCAAGGTGCTGGGTTCGATCCTCAGCACCAAACAAACAAATAAATAAAGGCATTGTGCCCAACTACAACCAAATTTTTAAAAAAATAAATAAATAAGGGTGATGAAGAAATTCTTTCAAGATAGGATTCAGGGCTCACATCAGGGCCAATCCTCAAGAAACTGGAGGGAAGAAAGTAAAGAGAAGTTCATTTGGGCAGTTTATGTGGGTTTTGTGGAAGCTGAGGGAGTTTCTTTCTGAGTGCCAAAACCATCCAAAAGACTCATCAGAGTTGAGCATTTGACTGGGCTCACCCAAGTCAAAGGCTAAAGGGAAATGCCACCTGACTTCAGTGAGGCCAGCAGAAACAACCAGATATACTAATGGCAATAAGATTGCTACCAAAAATCAACAGATACATTTCACAGTACATAATAAACATCTTATCTTACATTTTCATTAAAAAGAAGTCAATGGTGCAGCCACTCTGAAAAACAGTTTAGCCATTTCTTCAAAAACTATCCATGAATCTCTTACAACCCAGCAACTGTATTCTTGGGATTTATTCTAGAGAAATGAAAATTTGTTTGTGCAAAAACCACTACATGAATTTTCATGACAATTTTATTCACAATAGCACCAAACTAGAACCAATCCAGATGTTGTCAATAGTTAAACTGTGGTAAATCCATTATTAATAAAAAGGAACAAACAATATACAAAATGACCTGATGTATCTCCAGAGAATAATGCAAAGTAAAAAAAAAAAAAACTAGTCTCAAAAGGTTATACACACTATTTACATAACATTCTTTAAACAATAAAAATTATCGAGAGGCAGAATAAATTAGTGGTGGCCAAGAAAAGGGGGAAGGCATGGCTATAACAGGATAGCCTGGAAGAAGGCCTGTGATGACCAGTTTTGCATCTCGACTAGGTTGATGACTATGGGAAGCTATACATGTGACAACATAGCACAGAACACCCCCATACACATTCACACCCACACATAAACAAGTACATGGGACCTCTCTAAATTTATTTTGTAATTTCTTATGAATGTATAAGTATTTCAAAATAAAAATTGAAAATAAAAAAAGGGGTCCAACCTAAATTAGTATGTAAGCCTCCACAGGATCCTCCCCCCCTTTACTGGCAATACAAAATTTATATATCCCCACAACTAAAAAGAACTTATATAAGGACACAAATAGCTCTCATTGTTCGAATTTACTGTAAATTAGCAAGGCATGAAATAGTCCCATCGCAAACAACTTCCTTGGACAGTAAGGCATTCTCAGTTATCATACAACAGGATTTAAAGTGACACACAAGGATACACAGTGGCACACGCCTGTAATCCCAGCAATTTGGGAGGCTGAGGCAGGAGAATGGCAAGTTCAAGGCCAGCCTGGGAAACTGAGTGAGACCTTAAGCAATTTAGTGAGACCATGTCTCAAAATAAAAAATAAAAAAGGGACTGAGGATATAGCTCAGTGGTAAAGGGTCCTGGGCTCAAACCCAGTATCAAAAGAAAAAAAAAAAAAAAATCAAATGGCACAAGGTAAATTCCAGGTCATCATGAATGTTAGTGCCTTAATCTCCTGTATGTATAATTACAATGAATTTTTACAGGTCTATAGTATAACAATATTCTAAATGTCTAATGTTTTATTTGCTTTATTCTTGCCTCTATGTTAACTTTTTTCCAAGTTTTAAGAGTTTAAACTGGGAGTGGTGGCACGTGCCTGTAATCTCAGTGGCTGGGAAGACTGAGGCAGGAGGATTGTGAGTTCAAAACCAGCCTCAGCAACTTAGCAAGACCCTGTCTCTAAGTTTAAAAAATATATATAAAAAAGAATTGGGGATGTGGCTCAGTGGTTAAGTGCCCTTGGGTTCAATCCCCAGTACAAGGAAAAAAAAAAATGTTATGAGAAATTTGCAAAATATGACTCAAGTGTTTAAAAGTTAACTATTAGAAGACGCCAGCCTAAAAAGTAACTGTTCAAAAATAGTTGCATTTATTTATTTATTTGATGGACAGCATGCCTTTATTTGCTTATTTTTATATGCAGTGCTAAGGATCGAATCTAGTGCCTCACACATGCTAGGCAAGCACTCTGCCACTGAGCCCCAGTCCCAGCCCCAACAGTTGCTTTTGAATCATTCTTATTGTAAAAATTAGATTATCAGGACCACTCATCTGTGAAGGCTACATGATAATAAAATCTTACCTTTAGCATAGATATACAGTTCTTATCTACTCTTGGTTAAAAAAAAAAAAGGGAAGGGGGCAGGAGCCAGGCAGGGTGGTGCACCCACCCCTGTAATGCCAACAGCTCAGGAGGCTAAGGCAGCTGCTACCATTAATCTTCCTTTAGAATCACCATAGCACTATTCAGTTTCCTGTACAAAGTGTGAATGAGGATTATGTATCCAATACTGTAACATATACATGAAGATGAAATGATGGAGTGATAAAATCAATGTATAAGAAATAATAAGAAAACAATGTTTTATGCGACATAATTGGGCATTCATTATATGTGAGTTCAGAATAGCAGGAGAAGGACTCAAAACCAAGGTTGAGAGACACAGATTGTGAACAGGAAGAGGATATTCCAGGTTAGAGAATAAAAAAGAACAGATTCATGAAGGCAAGAATTTGCATGGTAAATCCAAAAGGCTAATAAGGCAACTGACCTAACTGG